ATGAACCCAGTTTTTCGAGGCCCGCGATATCCTTCAAATCCAAAGTTCCTCCCTCCCCGTGAGATTTATTCGGCTCGGTGCCGCGATTAATGCGTCTGCGCGCCGCGGCCCGCGAGTTGCTTTTCTTTGCGTCGGCCCTACACGCAGTTGCGCTGATCTATTTACGGGCGCGTGGATCTGATCGATGTGGAACGCGCAGACGCCGCCCCGGTTGATTGATTCGAGCAACGAGCTATTCCGCGAACTTACGCAACTCACCGACATCGGATGGATAATTGCTCGCGCGGTGTTTGTCTAATCCCATCCGGGCCGGTAATTGGCATCGGCTATCGAATCTGGAATCTTCGCTCGGGGAAATGAACGGCACTCGGCGTGAAATTGACCCAGAGAGAAGTGAAGCTAAGCGTTACAGCGGCAGCTTCTCAACAGGTGGTCGCGCGCCTGCCACTTACGCGCACATATATCGTTTACGCACTTGGCTGCAAGTGCCGCTGACGATATATCGCTTATCTGGCTGTTACTCGCCGGAGCACTTTACGGCCTCGTAGTCATAGCGATTTCGTCGCGCGAGCACGCTTTTACGGTACCACTCTCGCGAGCGAGAGTGCGAAGACCTTTGATTTCGCGTGCCTATCATCATCATCCTCATCATCCTCATCATCGCCTTCTTACTTTTTACTTGTCGTTATCTCGCCTGCTCTTCAACGAGATCCCAAGATTGCGCGCACTTCTAGCGCGAATATCACGGGGATACGCCTAACTTCCGACTTTGCAATAAACTCATCGTCGAATTTGCAGCGCCGGCAGATTGGCACCGAAACAGATGCCTGCGCGATGCCAATGAAAAGGCAATGCACGGGATAACGGATCTCGAGCTAATTTCGTGAGCGCGGGAGGAGCAGCTAGCTGCGATGCCAATCGAATCTCCTCGCTCGCCGCGGTCGAGCGTTCCTGGCTGGCGGGGTGCTGCACACGACTGCCGTGTAACGCCGCTGCACGATGAGAGAGGCTCCGTGTCGCCTACGCGAAGGTCCCGCGCGACTCATCGCGGCAAAGTGGTCACGTTCGCTGCCCTCGCCGCAGCACAACTCTCACCTAATATGCCTTATCTCGTGTGTGGTGTGTGTGTGTGTCTACCTTGGCAGAACGAGAAATCCGTGTTTTGCCATTTTCGCTTCCGCCTGTCAATGTGCACCGTCTACGCTCGATAAATGACCCACCGATGCGCTAATTCTTCGTGCCGTTTTTTTTTTTCTCTCGAATTTGCGCGTGCGCCTGCGCATGTGCGGCCGCAGCTCGATTTGAGCGAGTACCGTGCAATTAAGAAATTAGCCTGGATTCTAATGTGCATACACGCAAAACAGTCGTGTATATTAGATTTCGAGACCGCGCGGACATTAAATGCGCCGCTTACGGGTAAAAGTGACAGCAAGTGTATAACTGAGAGACGAGGAAAACTTGATAGCTTCTTGACTTTTTGTTCGTTGGCTCGTTGCCTCTCATGACATCGCAATAAAGTAATTCATTGAAGTAACTTTAAATAAGCAATAGACACTCGGGATGGGGGTTTTTCGCGAGCTAAGTGGATCGTGTTGCGCCTCGTAAAATGGAACCGCGCAGCGCGAGCTCGCAGCGGTGGTAATAAACCTTTTCAAGATCCTCAAGTTTACGTCTTAAACGGCGCGAGGAAAATTCAGCGAAACGAGCCTGCGCTCGAAGCGCAACAACTTTCGAGAGCGCGCTGCCGCACTCCGGAAGTCGGGGCCGAGGAGAGTCAATGTTTTCACGCGGTTGTTGGCTCTCGCTCGCTCATACGCTTAACTCAGCTCAATGTAAATCCAAGCAGCGCGCCGCAGCGTCCTGACTAACGCTTGGAGAATGCCGAGATAGCGCCACGCAGCTATACGCCGGCGATAATGAGCGCAAACCGACCGGGAGCCCATGCCCGTCGCCGTCGTTCAAAACAACGCTCTCTCGACGGCTCCGAGCGTGTGGCATTTCGCTCTTTTCACCCTATCAATGGCGAGCAATTGGATCGCCAACAGCGCCTCTCTTCCTCGACTTTCTTTTCGACAAATTCCACGTAGTTGTCCTGCGGCGATTACGTGCACCTCGAGCAGCGCACTTTTACGAATAGGAAAATTACACAAACGGTTTTTTCCTATTCGAACCCAACCCAAAGAAAAATTCGACTGGATGTGGTTGCGTAAGACAATGAGCAGCGTATTGGCAAATCGCGCCGATGGCGTTTCCGCCTTTGCACTTCGCGCACGCTCGATCGCGCGGTGTTGAGGTCCAGCTCGGGCGTTCGTTTGCTTGTCCAAGTCGATCAGATAGCGCGAACGCAACGGACAGCGCGCGAGCGCTAGATGACGCGCCGATGGATAACTGACTCGTTAGGTTCGCGTGAGCGCGGCGCGGACCTGCTCGCAGTCGCGCGCTATGCGCACTGCTTGCCGTTGGTGCGTATAGAAACACGCCGAGAAACGTATTTTCTCGCGTGCGCACGTCGAGAAGGGAAACGCACTCGACTCGTTCGGCCGATATTTTAAGTGCAGTTCGCAACGCGAATCCAATTGGCCGACAACCAAAGATCGAACGCGACTCTCTCCCAAAGTCACTTTGATTGCGCACATGAGCGAGCGACTCAGGCTCGCAAAACATAAGCTAATTAAAAATCTAGTCTCCGAAGTGACTCGCAGGAGAGAGCGTGTCCGTAAATTCTCTGCGAAAGCGAAGTTGATCTTCGCGAAGCATTAATAGTCTTGTTTAGAACGCCCAAAGTAAATAGACAATAATTAATTTTCTCAAGGAACTGGTCAACGAATAACTGGTTTCTCGTAACCGGTAAATTTATGAATTCATTAATTCGTAGCGAAATCCAAGTCAGTTTGATGTCTCGCTAAATTAGCTTACCATGACTAATTGTCAGATCTGATTTGCAGCCTGCAGTGTAAGGCACTGCGCTTGATGAACTGTAGTAGTAATGCGCGGCGTTTGTAATTAAAAGACTCGAACGCACGATCAATAAGCATTAGCCAATAAGTACAATTGTCGAGAACGCCGGGTAAGATCGTGCGATCGAAGTGGACGACGCTCGTCGGCGAGCGCGGCGCGCCCAGCTGCAGAGAGCGAGCGGGAGAAAATCGCCGCGATCTCCGACACGCTGTCGTCTTATTAATAAGTTCGCTGGCTGGAAAATCGTGCGCGTACCGCGCAATGCGCGGGCAATCGCGCGCTTGGGGACCAATGGTCGTTGCATTGTGCGACATCGATATCTGTAACGAATGAAAATCGTCGCCCATCTACAGACCGTCTGACTTTCAGCGCAGAGTGGAGTTTGGCTTGTGCTAATGGAGCGGTCGTAGGCGCGCAACCAATTCCTTAGGCGACCTTAGGCGAGTAACTTGAAATCGTTTGTTTACGGGGGGGGGGGGGGGGTGCGCAGTGCGAAGAACGGCTCTCCTACCCGCGTATAAGCGGCGCTGCGCTCGCTTTTTTAGGCGTCGGTTCGCGCGCGTGGTCACGCTCCTTCGCAAATGCCCGATTTTTAGCCTCCAATTACAAGCGCGTAAAGATAGCGTTGCGCTTGAAAGTATACCGCCGGGAGGGCTCTTTTGTTGCAGCCGCGAAGCGAAAGGCGTGATTCCCGACGATCTCTCGATAGCCCATTAAAGTTCAGAATAAAAAAGAAAGAAACGCTATACGTGGAATATTTATCATTCGACGTGTGTATTCGATAAGCTCGCGTAGCTGTATTTTGCCAATCATTATAGCGAACGATGCATAACCCACTTATGCAGAAGAGTTTCGCACGAAAAAAAAAAAACAAGTTTAAATCGCAGATAAACGTGACGAGACGGATGTGTCACCGGGTTGGCGCGACTCTGCGAGAGTAAAGACCACCTGGTTGAGAGGTGCTATCCGTGCCACTTCATCGCTCTCTCTCTCTCTTTCTCTCGCGGGGCTCGCGTGTGCGCGAAGCACATGAGCTGCAACATTCCTAGATCTCTTTTAAAGCTGCCTAGGGGCGCGCGAGAATACACTGGTTCGCCGACTCTGTGAACATATAGATGGAAGGAGAGACTCGACGAAGCTGCACACACGTGCACGCACTGGACTTCGTTTGCGAGGATGAATACAGGTGTACCCATCATCTCTACCCGTTATGCTTTATTTTCTTTGCCATTGTCCACTAATTCATGGCAGCCCCGTTTGCTGCATTATTAATACGCTCTTTGATCTATCACGATGCAATTATTGTCGCTTGATCGGTAAAATTCAATTTGCAAATTACGGAAATTGCCTGAACGTTTGATGTACGTTGTTGATTTGAATACAAGAGTAAGCGTGGAGGGCCGTTAAGCTCAGCGAGTACGACCTTGCCGTGGAAATGTTTGGATTATATCCTGCAGAGACTATAGTGCTTGGCGCAACGAAAAGCCTTCAAAAAGGTGCCGCACGTGACTCATTACCTAACCAACTTTGGCGACATCCACGCTTCGTATTTTTTTTAACATTATTGCAGTTTTGTAAATTCGTAAGATGTCTGTTCAGTTATTTATCTCTTCCCTCATGATTCGTCAATCTGTAACAAATGGTATTTTCCATAATTGGGTTAAGAATTAAAAATAATCTAGATTGTAAATGCGCAACATTTTTAAAAATTACGTGCTAACCTTATTTTTAAGTAAATAAACGTCAATTTGGTTAATAATTCGGATGGGAGTTTCGATTACAAATCAAACGAAACTACGTACACCCCTTCCACGTGAACAAATTGTGAGATGGGGGAAAGTCTGTTAATCTGCAACACTGACCCCCACTGTCCCTTCTGCATTTCGGAAAACTGTGCCGCAACATCATTGGCTAGTTTCTAGAGTAGGCTGTCCCAACAAGGTAGGCCCTTCCGTTGTCTTCAAAACTGTAAGTATAGCTTATTGGTTATTTGGTTTCACTGGTTAGTCGACAATCAGTGGATAGTGTATACTGGGGGCGCATCGGCATTTTTCGCAGTAGCACTGACATCCTTGACCGATGAACAGTTTTTCTTCCGTTGACTTGTGCTTAACGGTCTCTGTGCTAGTGATCATCGCAGCTTTTGTTTACTACACAGGATTTTATTTGGGCATTCGTTTGGCGTTCAACCTGTCTTGCCACGACAATTCGTCAAGCTGATCGTACATTAGCCGATTGCTATTGTAAGTATTTACATAATACACATTGCATATATTTTTTTAAAAATTGCCTTTGTTTAAAATTTGTCAAAAAATTATTCTTTTTCAAATCTTATTTCTTTTTTTCAAATTCGATTCATGTCTAGCCGCACCTGAGACACAACGTTTTGTATTATTGATAACTAATTTATTTGTGTTTCTTGTGTGTTTAGGTACGTCTCAGCTTTAAGTATCTAGCCTAATCGTCATATGGGTTACGACTCTTGGACCTCCGAACGGTCATTAGATTCGAGTGCCATGGTGGACCAGCTCTCCGATATATACTTGACCGACGAGGTGGTGCAAGAATTAGTCGACAGAATTCCTCCTGATTTTCTGATGGAGATGGAAGCAATAATTAATAACGATGCTGCTAGCGTATCGCGCACATACGCCACGATGCCTGCGAATGTGGATTTTGAGCCTCCTGTCGAGCCTATGTCAGAAGTACAATCAGCGAAACCGGAGATCAACAACGAAGCATCGGAATTTGTTGCAATCATCGGATTCGATGAACCCCTTCCACATGTCGAATCGCCTACAGGATGCCTTCAACCTATTAACCCCAATCCATTGCAAAAGACCGAACTTCCTAAAGACAACGCTCCCCTTCCCGAGATTAAGTCTTCTGAAGTGACGGATTTCTTTCAAGAAATTGAAGAGTTCCTGCAGATGCAACAATCCTTGAATCATCAAATACAAACTACAGTACAACCGATGGTACCTGATGAATTGATTCCTGATTTCATGCCGGACTATTGTTCCAGAAGTCAATGTGGCAAAGTTATACGCAGACGAACTTATCATATCGACACCACTGGATATCGGCGCAGGTTCAACTACGGCCTCGGTAAATCAAAACAGGAACTTTATGGGAATCCATTTCTCAAACCAACTAGGTATTTGTGCGATTACTGTCCCTCCGAGATGTACAAGATTACGGTCTTTTTAATGCACATGAAGCGTCATCGCGACGACGAACTTCGACGTGGTCTGTCACGATGCAGTTCATGTGGAATGTTGTTTTACGATGTAATACAGAAGAGATGGCATCAGACAGAATGCCATAAGCGTAACATGACATGGCGCATCTAAAACATTGTTATTACGCGATTGCTTTTTCCAGATCCGAGTACTGTTTATTTAATACTATAACGTACATTGTGGCGTAATATTCATTAGAATAACTTTCAATTGATTTTACTTTCTGAATCGTGGACGTATACTGGTTGTCGTTCTATGCCGCGAACTACATGTTTCTTTGGAATTTCTAAATTTAAGATTAAATTTATATTATAAATTTTTAAGATTATATCTATTAACTAGATAAATATAAAGTTGATAGAAGTACTCGGCGAAGTGAAAAGCATAAGCGTTTCTAGTACATAGGGTGTGGTAATTATAAAATATTTGATTATGATTTGTGTGTTTACTGTGTGATTTATTGTATTATTTGAAAATGTATATTATGGCTTTGGAAATATTAATAAAAATTTTGAACAAAAAACAGGACCGTTCCTTTATTATGAATATTCCTCACAAAAATCCATACTAATCAGTTAATCATCATTTTCTTCAAAATAAAATGAAAGAAAAGTTGTTTAATCTTCAACAGTTTCCTTGGGTACTGTCGCGAAAAAAACATCTTTAAATATTGTAAATTTCGATAATTAGAAGTTATTAGAGATTCAATTAAGTTAGTATTACACTATTTGGTATAGAACCACATGACTTATTTCGACGATTAAAAGATAACCGTAAAAACAAACGGTAATGTAATCCAGAAATTTATTGTGATAGTAGTATATTTTGAGGCGCACGCCGCACCATTGGAATTCACCATCACGGACACCGGTACACACTCGGCCTGCAGGAATCAGACAGATAATCGACGCCTGTTCATCGTACGCACAGCGAGAACAATATAATTCAGATAAGCTTGTGATGGGATATTATTTAGACATTTGCACTTTCGTTTTATAATTTAATTAAACTTGACCTTCATTGTTTTTGGCATTATTATATGCGTATTGCGCGTACTCCCAATTATAGATAATGAATTTTCTATAGCGTCATTTTATGAGATATTCATAAGTAAAGGATTAATGCACATGACAAATCAATGTCAGTTACATAAACTATTATCGTTTGCTTCATTTAATAACACCAATTACTTGATGATCATCACTGTATATTTTTATCAGCATTTATTTAATTAAAACATTTAAGTTCTAGGAGAATTGTATTATTATAATTTTTTTATTTGAGCATTTTAGACTTAATACAGGTTTAATTTAGGCTTAATACAGCTATATATGAACATAAGTTTTACATACGATGTGTATTCGTAATATTTACGGTGTTTCAGTGCAATTATAATAAATTATGAATTTGCACTTTAAAAAGTCGAGCATACCTTTACGTGTCTTTACATCTGGCGTTGATACAAATGCTCCAATAATATTGAAAGGTGAATGTTGTTTCATTTTACACAAATCTCTGAGAATTTTGTTTCTTTGTTCAATGTACAGGTCATATTGCCATAAAACATGATTTATATTTACCATGTTTGTTTTGCAATATTTGAGGCTGCTTACAATATTTACTCTAGCTAAGGAGGCTACAAGGTTATAATGATTTGACCTACTGTAATACTGTTCACTGTGGTTATTAGATCTCTTTTAACATTCAGATTATGGAACCAAGATTTTTGGCCTTGTTTAATATATATTCAAAATATAATTTACCTTTAATTTTGGATTATTATTATTAATATTATTTTCAGTTTCAAAGAAATTGCTTTACTTTTACAGTTCATGAAAGTTTTCAGAAAGTCTTTGACGAGAGAATCAGCTGAATATTTTCCAGTATTACCATCTTTTTTGTGATGAAATGGTAGACGTGTTCTATACTTAGTCTGATTTGATATTATTTGTTGGTAGTTCTTCTTTGCTTAGTAGGTGTTGGTAAGTTAGTGGTGTGTGTCCCATCCTGAGTTTAGTAATCAGAATTTGGCCTCTTCTTTGGAATTTGGTGGTTGGGTTGAATTGAAAAGTATAATTTTTTATTTTTCGTAATGATCAATAGTTTGATTCGTCAATCCATTGATGTTTATATTTTGATAATTCTTGTTTGAAATATTGATAAAATTTTCATCACTTAATGTTAGAGGTGATTTAAAATAAAAAATTCTATCTTTGCTCTTATTGTACTAAGTGAGTAATTTTATTTTGTACAATCGTCAAAAAATTCCAACTTTATGACAATTGCGGTTGACAATAACAATCTTATTTACTACAGAAGATATTCCATTTGTTTATAAAAGAATTTGGAACCTCCGATTTATAGCTACTGGGCAATTCTTGGCTATTTCAAACAGTTTAAAACATCAAATCATCAATTTTGTTCAAAGTTGGTAGACTTATTACCTATACAGAGGTTAACATGTGTGCAGGGTTTTAGATCAAAATATTGATAAGGGGCCGACTTATCAACTGTTGAAAAAATATTGGACTTTTTTTTATTAATTCGATTTCTCGAAGACTAATAAAGATATGAACATGATTCTTTTTTTAAAAGACGCGGAAAGAGTTTCAGTTTTAAAATGTAAATAGTAAAATACCAAATCATTTATTTTTATTATTTCACTTTGGCCCTCCACAATCTGGCAGTTACCTAAGCTGCGTATTTCAAATGAACACAGAAAATTTACATTTAAAACTCACTGTTACCTAAAGCTCATTCTTTTGCGCCGAAATCAACGGAATTTGTGAGCACTGTGGTTGAAAACCTATATTGTCTACGATGACTCAAGCGAAACTTTACAAATTATTTGATTGCATTTTCAAGCAACAAAAGGAGCGATAATATTAAGAAAATAATGATTTAATTTTTCTATACACTACAATTATACAAAAAAATGTAAACTATAATTATGCAATGATAGAAATTTTTATTCAAATCGTTATTTTAAAGAGGATTTTAAAAAGGATTGCTATAGACACGTTAAAAGCAGCCAAACTTAATTTCAATGGAGGCAGTTTTTGCGAAATTCAAAAAGGAGGAAGTTGGGCGTAAGTGCGTCTTTTTAGCGTCTTTGATAACAGTGATAACAATGTAATTCGTTGAATTATCGGTATATATAACATTTATAATTGTAAAGAAAATGTGACTAGAACATTTTCAAAATATTATTTGCTTCGAAGTTTAACGGTTTCCACAGTTCATTTTAGTACTGGGGTTTTCTCCACGCTGCGCATACAATGGTCTCCTAGCAGGGGCCCGACTAAGGTTGGTCCGCAGTTGCAACATAGAACTCATGGAGGTGTTAGACATCTCGTTTGACACTGTTAGAAACAGTCAATTCTAACCTGTAATATAGGTAATTGAACGCTCAATATCAAAAACTGTGCAATAGTTGCAAGATATCGTTTACTTCATTAACAGCGCAATATCATCCCTGTATAGGGGTGTATGGAAAACGAAGATAAGCAATACGGGTACAATTAGGTAAACACGCACTATGTGAAATGCCGAACTCGCTTTACTTGATCGGCAACATCACACAGTGTGTACTTTGCTTCGTGTACTCCCTAGTAGCATAACGTATACCGATCTAGGCGACCGTATTCGTGTTTTTTCGCGCTAAGAACGCACAATATGTAATGGGGTTACTTACCTGTGAAGAACGCTTCGACTTGTTTCGCAGCTACTAAAACTCAGGAGGAAGGGGAGGGCGGTAGCTCCTTAGCTGTGTTGAACTCATCACACTTTAGAAAAATGACTCATCGCACTCTTCGTTCGTATTTTGGCCTACTGTAATCTTACTACGAGCCTCGAAGAGCTTATGTTTGCAAGCAGGATAGTACTACAGATTTAGCTGCGCGGTACGAGTGTCGCCTGCTCGAAAACCGAATACGGCATTACCGAGAACAAAAACTTTGTCAAGTACCACGGCCTGTAAATAGGAATACTAGTGCACAAACGTCAAATTATCTTTTTTGTATCTACGACTTGCATAGGCTTAAATAGTTTCTGATTATTTGAATTTTTTATTGTATACAATTATTCTAATATTGGCATCAATTTCACCTAAAGTTTGAATATTATTAAATACCACTTTTTCGGATTATCTGCAGATGCGTAAATATAATATTCATTTAGGCTAACAAAAGCCACATCATTTTACTATCGCAATAAAGCACATTTATGATTTCACAGGACATTTATTAACATAAAGAGGACAAAATAATACATTTACTTATGCTAATTACCGTCCCTATTTTTTCTGCGCGTACTTGCAAAGTTTCAAATATTCGATGAGTATAAAAATAATACTAACGAAAATAGATTTTTAAGCGGTTATCTTCGTGATAATATTGTGGGATTTGTTCATCATCGTATTAAAAGTTTTGAATTAAAAGAAACGAGGGCAGTCGACTTCTCATTGCATATTCATAAAGTACACATCTACTGAATATTCATAAAATACATGTGTATATTACTTGCTTCAACAAGGCCAATCAAGTTAAACACAAATAAATGACTGCTCGAATAAATAATTCTTTTATTGAATTAAAAGCTTTCGATTGTATGTACAAACATAATCATTTCCGTTTTGGATTAATATTTATTCAAATTAATCAAATTTATTCAGTTTAATCAAAGTTTATTTGAGTCTGGTTTGATTGGACATCATGACAGAAAAATGCAGAAATGGAACAAAAAACCAGATTTCTCGCTGATCCCTTCCTACTTTATCTTTATTTTCATTTCGCAGTTTCCAAAACGTTGCTACCTGAATGTCTTTTCGCCTCATTCACATTATACCATCTAACTGATTTTTTTTTGAGAGAGGAAAAATTATTTATTTAGATAATTGATGGAAGATTGCTAATGAGCATGGGCTGACTTGGGCAGAAATAAAGTGGTCGATACGGTAGTGTTCCTATGTATAGTGATCAATGGAGAAACGTCTGACTAAATAGGGGCGGGTGAGTCTATAGTATAAGTGGAGAGTAGAAATTTGTCAAGGATAATACTTTTTCGAGCCGAGTAGTAGCAGTGGCCGAACAACTTGACTCTTAGAAGTAGAATAGTAACGCCAAGGTGAACGAAATATGAATTTTCTACCTGCGTAGAGGAATGTCGTTTGTTTCGTATAAATATTTCGAAAACATTTTATTGGGGAAGAACGTCTTAAAATTACTTCAATTTCGAGCCTAATCTATGGGCGAATGATAAAATTGAGGGTCTCGATTAGGAACTTCGGCATGTATGCCGGAGACAGTACCTGCGCGACACCAACGAAGATAGACACAAACTTATAGGATAGGTCTAATTGGACCTCAGTTTAGCGGCTGCATAACACGGC